ACCTCTTTCAACAACTTTGACTCTGGAACAAGAGAACAGCTGGAGACGGAGAGAAAATTGGTGAAAGGTCCGGTGTGCCACCTCATCCCCCCCCCCCCCCCCCCAACTCCGACTACCCTCCCAGGACATGGACAGGAAGGAAAACAAACACTCAAGAGGGAGAGAGGGTCACAGCCTGCTCAGTGCTCAGTAGAAGGCAGGAGGGGATGAGGAAGAATTGAACCAAAACTCTTCTTCCTTTGAGGCAAGAAATGAACTTGGCTTTTGCCTGAGTTTGGTAGGAGGGGAGAGGAGACAGAGATTTGAGGAGGTTCACGTCTAAGGTCCTTTACTTGAGGGTGAAATAAGTGATATAGCAAGCTGAAAAAAAATGATAAGGACTAGAAGCAAGAGAGAAAACACTATGAAGAATGGGGAAGGAAACTGATTAGGAATAAATTTAAGAGCTATGGTTAAGTACAGAATTCATGAGTTTGTAGTAAGGCTTTTGGTGGGGTTGCCAGGTTTTGTGCAGCAGAACTCAGAAGTCTGGGACAGTTCTGTTGTTCTGCTTAGTTGATCTAGGGATGGGGGTAGTTAGGGACGTAAAAGCGGTGACCTAAAGAAGAGTGCTGGTGAGGATGCGGTTAAAATGGCTGAGCATGGTGTCCAGACGGGTGGGGCAGGAATTGACAGCAAGATAGGCGGGGAAATCGGAAGTGAGTAAGCCATTACAGGTCTCAGGGACACAGGGGGGTCAAGGCAAGGGGGTGAGGAAACGGGAAAGCTGATGGTGAAAGGAGAGACGGCTGATGGAAGTCAAGATTTCCGAAGCTAAGGATGTTCCTGTGGGAGAGACAGCTGGCATGGAGGGAGCTAAGCTCATCAGAGCCATGGAAGTTAGTGGGATGGGGGCACCTCAGGTCTGAGTTATGAACTCCAGGACGGTGGTTTCCTACACTTCAGGTTGAATTTGTTCCAAGTACCAAATCAATAGGTCTGGGATGGGATTTTGGAATCTGCATTTGAGGCAAAGATTGGATGCTTGTGTTTCAATGACCATACTCAGAAAGACCCTAATCTAGAAACTCCTTTTTCTTTCCTTCTCTGTTAAAGAGAAGGTGCAAGAGGGAGGCTGATCTTAACTTTTTCAAATCAAAGAGATTTTTTTTTTCTTGGAGAAGTGAAGCCCCCAGCTCTTCTCTTCTCTGACTTACCCATACACACTGATAAAGTTAATTATATGCCCTGGCTAAATGACTTTCCCTAGCAACGTCCTAGCAACTAACACCAGCTCTGCCTTAGGCTAGAAAACTGGAAAGAGATTTCTTGAAGTCCAGTGTATTTTACAACAGAACAAAACATCAGAACAGGAAATTAAACAGAAAATAAACTGGATTCATTGCTAAGAGATGAGACACAGACACAATAAGACACAATAATTCATGACAATCCATCGGAACACAATAGTCAAAATAAGAAACTTTCTCCTCATAGATTCTACTGGAGGCCAGAGGAGAGAATGAGCGATCTCATTCCATGAAGGAGAAGAGAATTTAACCAGGCAGGAGGAGGAAAGGCGTCCTAGGTGATGGGGAAGCTATAAACAAAGGTGCCAAGTCAAGTCTGAATGTGGGGGACAAGGTAACCCAGTTGGTGGCACCGGGAGCTCAGCCTGGGATCTATGACCAGATCGTGGACGTCCTGAGGTCACTTGAAGAAATTGGGTTCAGTAACATGGCACTGGGAGACTGTTAAAGACTTTTTATTCCTAGAACAAATACTTAGGGAGCCAGGCACTGTGGTGTACACAGAGAATACAGTGGTGAGCTCCAGAGACAGTTGCTGCCCTTACAGAGCTTAGAATCTAGTGATGAAGACAGACACCAAACAAATACAAAATGTAAAAATCAAACATATAAATGAGTAAGTAATTATAAAACTTGAGAACATTAAGAGAAAAGGTATCAGGTTCCAGGAATGCACATAAAGAGGGGCAGGATCTGTTCTAGGAAACCAGGAAGGACTTCTCTGAGGAAGTAGTTTTGCAGATGCATAGGAGTTGGCTGCAAGAAGGTGGTGGTGGGAGAGACTAAAGAGCGTTGGATTCTAGTTGGAGAGAACCACAGCTATGGTGGCTGGAGGCCATGAGAGAAAGGGCGCCTGGCCTGAGAAGCCGCCAAGCGGAGCCTTGGAGGACACATTAAAGATTCTGTCTTTGTTCTGAGCACCCTGAAAAACCACTGAGAAAGGATTTTAACCTTGGGATTGCCATTCAAGACTGTATGTTAAAAAGGATCATGGCAGAAGACAGATCGGACGGGAGCGAAAGGAGATGCCTGGCAGTCCAATTAGGAGGCTGAGAGATGATAACAACGCAGACTGGTGTGGTGGCGGAGGATACGGGGAGAAGTGGATTCTAGAGATAGTTGGAAGGGAAACTAATGAGTTGGCGATGGCTTAGCTGGATGTGTGGAGAGAGCGCCGAGGTCTGATGTGACAGCAGAGCTGGGTAAGGGAAATCTAGCCTGGGTGGTGGGACTGAAGCGTGATGGGCTGCTTAGAGCCTGCTGTCATTGCCCAGATGATGGGGTCACCGTGATAGAGTGGGAAGAACCCCATTTTGTTATTGACGAGGCCTGATTTGAATGCTGGTTCTTTTCCTCTTATTAGCCATGGCACCTCGACAGGCAATTTTATAGGTTCTTAGTCTGGAAAATAAGAAAGGGGAGGGAAAATGGGCCTGCTCTCTCACATGGTTTTTCTGTCAGTGTGCCATAAAAAATTAACTATTACATCCCAGCCTGCTCCATGCCACCTACCTCCACAGTAGGTTGGAATGTGTTGATTTAGATGAAAAGACATTCAAGAGCACATGTTTGGGCTACTGAACATGCAATAAGCTTTGAGCTTTGTGAAACGGAAGCCATGTTTTATGCATCTCTGCAGTTTCCTGTCCTCTGAGATAAAAACTGGGTATACTCTAATGAACCGCTTAGTTTGTAGCATATATCACAATTATAATTAGAAAAGATTCATGTGACTGCATTTAATATTTGCCTTTCCCACAGGATTGTAAGATCCACAAAGGCAACGTATGTCTTGTGCCCCAGAGCTGAACATATGGAGGGCCTTCAACATGAATGAATAAATGAATGAATTTTTGTTCTCTCTGGTGCCTGCTGCTCAGCCCAGACTTGGCCCCAAATCGATACTCCTAGCAAGCTTGCTGGATGACCGGGACTGTGCACCATGGAATCCAGCATGAGCTCTGAGCCAGTACAGTGATGCTCGGTGACAATTCACTCAGGATGCAGATGTGAATCTGAATGTCACTTTTGTAAAGGAAGGCTGGCCAGCTGGATCCAGTGCTGTTGAGGGTCAAGGAGGGTCAGGGCTGAGAAAAGAGCATACAGCAATGGTCTTCAGCAACAGGCTACTCTCGGGTGACCTCTGAGAAAAGATGTCCAGTTAACAGTGGCAGCGCGAGTCCCAGCTCAAGAACTGAGTAGTAAGTGGGCTGGTGAAGAGGAATGGAGACCTGCAACGCAGATGGCTCCTCAGGGCTGTTTTGTCAGTGATGTCAAAGAGAAAAACCTGACCTGGAAAGCAAAGGAGATAGCTTTTTAAAAGTAGGCTCTCGAGGTGCGTTGACTGCCACGGGGAAGGGGGAACTGGGTAATAAAAGCTCCTGAGAGCACCTAGGGAGGCGTGGGCGTAATGGAAGGGGGCAGAGGTCTAAGGCATCTCCAAGGTAGGCTTGGTCTACTTCGCTGTGGTACTCAGGGTCAGCCAAGACTCACCCGCTGACGGGATGGAAGGGTGGGGACACTGGAGAGCCTCCCAAGTGTTTTATGTGGGTCATTTCATTTGGTTCTAGCAATCCCTAGAGGAAGAGTGTGTTGGTCCACAGGCACACACCAACACCTTCCCCAGAGCATGAAACTGAAGCTTGGAGAGGTTAAGTAACTCTCCCAAGTCTCACAGCCGGTGAGTGGCAGAATTAAGGTTTGATTCAGGTCTGTCCCCAGGGACTCACTGGGAAGAAATTTCTTCACAAGGCCTTTCTCCTGTGTGGCCTTGAGGTTGATGCCTGGGGCTCCGCTGAGTGATGCCTCAGGCTCAACTCCTCTCCAAACATCTGTCATGGGAGGCCTGAGAACCTGAACTAAAATCTAAGCCAAGAGAACTCAGGCTTTACTCTGAACCTTTCAAAACCCCTTTCCAAGGCTATATGAGGACTTTGTGGACGTTAGGCACTTTTGTCTTTGTGAACTCCTTTCTTCATAAAACAGTAGTAAACATATTTTATGACTGTGTAGGTATGAATACAAGTATATTGATGTTATATAGTGAAACATTTTATTGGGTCTGATTTTCTTTCTTCTGATTTTAAATGCTTCAGGAATCTCCAAAAGTATGACGGGCCATAGGCACTCTGCCTCCAGGGGCCAATGGATGAGTGATTTTGTCCATTTCTCATACTCCAGTCTGACTTGTTGCAACAGCTGCTAGGGGAGGAACAATAGTGAGATAGGGCATCTGACCCCTCCTGAGTTGTTTGGCTGAGGCCTCAGTTTGCTCATCTGTACAATGTGTGAAAGTAATGTTATGTTTATTGTGTTCAGTGAGGGTGACGGTGAGCGGATACCATAAGTAAACCGCCCAACATAGAGCTAGGCACACAGTAGGTGTGCAACAAAATTCAGTTCTGTCTTTCCCTCCTTCCAGTACCCTCCTCCACGCAGCCCAGAGTATAGCGGGGTTTGGGGCAGCAGCCTCCTTGGTGGTGGCACAGAGCCGACAGTGTCCTTGTACCCTATGATTTCCTCGTCAGACCCTGGGAATCAGCATCGCAAAATAAACACCGCCGTGCCGCTAATCGCCTGCTCGGAAACAAAACAGCGCTGCGCTCGGGGATCTGGGCAAAATCAGCCCTCCCTCTTCCTTCGCCACCGCCCTCCCTTCCTCGCGCTGCTCTGCTCACTCAGCTCAGCGCAGCGCAGCACAGCCGCCAAACCGAGGCAGGCACGGTCTTTCGGCTCCGAGCTCCCGCTTCCCGCCCGGGCTCCGCCAGGTCTCGCTTCCGCGGGGACCCCTTCGGGCAGGAGTCGCGTGCTGAGGGCCGGCGGCAGCGGCACAAAGTTGGGGGCCCGCGAGGATGAGGCTGTCCCCGGCGACCCTGAGGCTGAGCAGTAGTCCAGTGCTGCTGGCCCTGGCGCTGCCCCTGGCCGCGGCGCTGGCCTTCTCCGACGAGACCCTGGACAAAGTGCCCAAGTCGGAGGGCTACTGCAGCCGCATCCTGCGGGCTCAAGGCACGCGGCGCGAGGGCTACACCGAGTTCAGCCTCCGAGTGGAGGGCGACCCCGACTTCTACAAGCCGGGAACCAGCTACCGCGGTAAGTGGCCCGGCGCGGCTTTGGGGTCGCGGGACCCGGCCCCCGGGGGGCGCTGACCGCGCGGTGCCGGAGGAGGGCGCACAGTGTCTGGGCGCACGGTGCCGGCGCAGCCGGGCACGGGCCCTTCTGCCCTGGCTGCCCTCAGCCCTTCTAGCTGCGAGCCAATTCCCAAGCCCGTTCTGGGGCCGTCGCGGGGCCCGCAGCCAGACGAGCAGCCCCCATCTCCGACTCGCGGTTCCGGAGCGTGTGCTATAGCAAAGCAGCGCGTCACACCGGCCTGGCTGGGAGGGAACCGCTCGGCTCCCCGAGAACAGTGGAGACCCGCCTCTCTCCAGATCAGTCTCTGGAGGGGAGGAGACCCTGGCTTCTCCCAGTTGGGTCCCTGGCAAGGTGGTGAACTCCGGCTTCCCCGCTCCCATTCCTAAGGGAGAAGATATCAGCTTCTCTCTGACTGACCCCCGGCGGGACGGTCACTCTAGCTTCCCCGACAGATCCCCAAAGACTTTAAGCTTCCCCCTTAACTGGGCACGGGGAGGAGGAGAGGAAGAGCCTGAAGCTTTTCGGAAGGATCTCTGGAGAGAACTCTCAATAATATTCTCCTGGTCCCAGGCAAAGGAGAAGACCCTGAATTTTCTAGGCTAGGCTTCCAGTGGAACTGGAACGGGCCTTCAAAGATCCCTGGATAGTCTCGGAGAGGAAAGGGAGCCCGATAAAGACAGAAAGGGGAGCTCGAATTCCTGAGGCCTGCTCCCTGGAGGCCGGGGGGCCTTGGCTCAGGAAACCCCGAGGCTCCGTGCCCCAGGGATGTGACGCCAAATCTGCTCGGTTGCGAGCGGGCTTTCTTTTCGGGAGCGCTGGGAGGGAACGTCCAAGCAGGTGAGCGCCTTCCAGGCAGGACTGGCAGCGCCACCGGCACAGACCTGATGACCCCACGGCCCACCTCCTCTCTCCTCAGCCCGGCCATCCCCCTAGGCATCCCCCCAACCCCCGCCAAGCAGTAGCTGCCTTCTCCAGCTGGGAGACAGGACCTGAGGCAGGGAAGGACTCCTGCCGGGCTTCACCTGGGGCTCCGCAGGCGGGGAAAGGCAGGGCGCACGTCCCTTCACGCCCGCCCGCTCCTTCATAAGTCAACTCTGGTACCAAACAGGGAGAAGTGGGATGTTGGGGAATCTGGTGGGGCAAATGGGTTCCCAGCCGCCACCCTTCCACCCCCGCCTTCCCGGTCCCCAGAGCATCGCGGGAAGAAGCGGTGGGAGCAGCGGTGGGAGCGACAGTGGAGAAAGTTCGGGGCAGTGTCAGCGGGCGCCCGGCCCACACGGGCGACCGGAACCACGGGCCACTCTTCTCAGAATGCGTCTCTCGTTTCCCCGGTCCGTGTCCCTGACTTTCTCCACCTGGGGCTACCGAGAGCGGCTTGCAGGCGCCCTCGGCACCGGGAGGCGCTCAGCGCTTGGGCGCGCGGGTCGGAGAGATCGTCGGGACTTCACGGCGAGGAGGAAGACGTTGGGCGTAGCACACGCGACCCAGCGCGGGAGGGAGCTGGCGAGGTTGGCGCGCTGCTGAAGGAGCCGAACCGACGTGTGGCCGCAGTCTCTCCGCCAAGCTGGGAGAGAGCCTCTGGTCTCGGTGGACCGGAGGGAAGCGGGCAGAACCGCGCTGGCCTGTAGCTCTCCACCAAACGGAGGATCTGTGTTCTCCTGGGAAACTGCTCCAGCTCCAAAGGGCAGGGAAAGATGTGGCTCTGGAGTCAGATCGGCTTGGGTTTCGGAGCTGTATGACCCTGTGCAGATCCTTAATTTCTCTGAGTCCCTTTTCCAGTGTGAGGATACTAGCTATCCACCCTCTGTGTGGCTGTCAGGAGTGAATGAGTTTACGAAGTAAGAGTGTGCCCAAGGTCTTTCATACCTGTTCATTGGAGCCGGATATGCAGCCTTTATTAATTTAATAATGGAGGGATGTACCTGGTCAAATTTGTTTTGTTTTTTTTTGGGGGGGGGGAGGGGGTGTGTGTGTGTGTGAGAGAGAGAGAGAGAAAGGCTTTCTCAGGACTCCACCTGAGCAATCTCTCAGTGAATGGTGATTCTCAGGGTCCTCAAGAATCAACTGAATACATGAATGATTGATTTCTCCATGGTAGCTGCCTTGCCTAAGGCTGTTCCTAATTTAAGCCCAGGAGGATTTTTTTTTAAGGCAGTTTAGACCAGTGTGGGGCCCAGGCCAAGGGTCCTACCCAACATCTCTTCCCACGCTTGCTGCCTGGCTCGCTTGAATCCTTCCAGTTTGGCTGGGCACTGGCAGCAGCGGTGGCCTGGGCCCTGGGAGGGCGGGGGGTCAGGTTGTCACCCGGACAGAGAGGTCCCATGGCTGCCTGCGTGTCGGTGGCCTGGAGGTGGGAACTAGACTTGCACCCTGCAGTAATTCCGACCTAAAATGTTAGCCTTTTGGACTGTGAAGTCCCCACTCAAACTACTAGGTGGGCAAGCATCCTTTCTTCTTTCTGGTGGCTAAGAGATCTTGAAAAGAACGATATTGCAGGAACCGTTCTGAGACTTTCTGTGATTAGCAAACCTGATTCCGCCACTCAAAGTTGGGAAGAAGGGGGTGTTGACCTAGTTTGACATTTTTTCTGTTGGCTTATACTTTCTTAGAATACTTGTGTGAAAAGTGTTCTGCTTGGAGTATTGACTTAGGGCTGTGGAAATTAACATTCCTCTGGTGTTCCACTTGCTTTTTTTTTTTTTAAACTTTTTCCTGAATTAGTGCCCCTCACAATCCTTGGAATCAATCCTTGTCTTGTTTTCCTACCTCAAATCTTTATCCCTAGCATTCCAGCTCATCTCCAAATAGCTTCTGCTCTCATGCTCCCCACCCGTTTATCCATTACGCATTTTAGACTGGAATAAAATGGTCACTGTTAATATATATATATATGTAAAAACATGGCGTTTCTTCTCAATAGCCAGGATCCAGTTGAGATTATTATTCAGCCGTCTCCAAGTTGTTAGTACTATATTGACTTCCTTCTCACTCCCACCACTTCTCTCTACTCTCCCTCCTCCTCCCCCCTCCTTGTGCCTCTGCAATAATTGTGCTTTAGAAAGCTCTGAAAGGCCCGCTCTGTTTCTGACCACGCACTCCTTTGAAAAGGAGATTACAGTGATTAAAAATAACAAGTTGAGGATCCTCAAGGGGCATTCCTTATGGGAGGACAATTTGCAGGACCAGCCATTCCCAGATCACAATTTCAAGCCAAATAGAAGAAAATCAGCTGAAATGTTCAAGAATTGATTGAAAATAAAAGAGGCTCTTTTGTCTGACTAGAGGTCTGTTTATTAGGAAAATAAAGCCAGACCCTGGCTAATGAGAGTGGCTTTTCCTAGATGCTCTTTAAAGGGAAATTTCAAGGAACTTGATGGGAAAAGAATGTCCAATTGAGATTTGAAAAGCTTCTCCAACTTCAAGCATAATTGGGGGATTTATTCTAAACTGGGAGGTTTGGGGACCTCCAAAGCTGCTTCGCCTTCTCTTTCTTTGTCCCACTCCGGAGCACACACACTGCCATAGGAGTGTGTGTCCCACCTCAGCCTGGTAGAAAGAACGCAGGCTTTGATATTGGCTGAGTCTGTTTCAACTCCTGCTCAGTCACATAATTACTTGGCAACCTCAAACAGGCCACTTCAACTCTCTGACCCACAGTTTCTCCAATTGTAAAATGAGAGTGCTTTGCCGCTCTCCCGCCTCCCCCCGCCCCCGCCCCCAGTGTTGCTGTGAGAATTAGAAATAATCCATGTCAAAAGAAATTGTCACACAGTAGGTGCTAAAATAAATGTATGTTATAAGATGATTATTTTAGAAATAGAAAAATACTTGGCAGCGAGCACTGGATGAGACATTGCGTTAAGTGCTTCCTACTCATCTCACATCTTACTCCTTGTAGTACTTTGAGGTGGTCTTTTATTCTTATTTGCAGATGAGAACACTAAGTTTTAGTGAGTTTAGTACGTTGCCATGGTCATAGAGCTAATAATCAGTGGCGTCAAGATACAAATTCAGGGATGTATTACTCCTAAATCTGTGCTCTTAACTTGTCTTCCATACAGACTCAATAAAATGAATTGGGAGTAGAGTAAATTCACTCAGTGACCCTAAGCCTTCTGGATGGTGTGTTCATGGAAGGAAAGCAGCAGCAACAAATCAAGATAATAACTGACATATCTTGGGACACAAAGAAGGTGATGGGTCCTTATTTACATTTGCTTTTTTTTTTCTTATTATAGACTGCAGCTTTGCCTTTTCCCATAAACCAGAGGATTAATTTAGAAGCATGAAGAACCTTGTCAATCATTAGCCAATTCCTCGTTTGTGGGGAAACAAACAAATTGAGTTGGAAAAAAGAAACTAATTTGACTATTGTTTTATTTTTACATACAGATGTTATATGATCATGCCTGTAAAATCATATTTGAAAAGTACATCGGTATATTTTGAGAAATTTAAGCTGGATGAGGTCTTTTAAATAAACTTATCTAGTGTTTTTATTTTAGGTACTGCTGATGATAATTGTAATTAATTGTAAGTTGCTCCTCCCACCTCTCCTCTTTTCTTCACCCTTTTTAAAAAACAACATTTGAGGTATAATTGACATATAACTTTATACTAGTATACAATGTAAGATTGAATATTTATGTATACTACAAAATGATCACCACAATAAGTCTAGTTACCATTTGTCACCATACATAGTTGCACATTTTTTTCTCTTGATGAGGGGTTTTAAGATTTACTCTCTTAGCAATTTTCAATTATGCAATACAGTATAATTAACTACATTCACCATGCTGTGCATTATATCCTCAGGGTGTATTTACTCTTAACTGGAAGTTTGTGCCTTTTGACCATTTCATCAACACCCTCATCCACCTTCTTCTGGCGTCCACCCATCTGTTCTCTGTATCTATAAGCTTGGTTTTGTTGTTGTTTTGTTTTTTTAAGATCCCACA